CTGCCATCGGATCAGCGCGGTGCGCCGGCCGCAGCGCGCCGGCCGCGGCGGCCATTGGAGGGTGAACCAACGGCAAAAGGAAGACCTTTCTCTCTGTCTCTCTCTCTCACTGTCCACTCTGCCTGTCAAAAAAAAAAAAAAAAAAAAAAAAGACTTAGTATGCCTTAATATGAGAGTTAATGTTTTAGTTTTATTATTTCATATAAAGCTAATTTGTGGTTATAAAAATATATCGTAGGGCCAGCGCCACGGCTCACTTGGCTAATCCTCCGCCTGCGGCGCCGACACCCCAGGTTCTAGTCCCAATTGGGGCACTGGATTCTGTCCTGGTTGCTCCTTTTCTAGTCCAGCTCCCTGCTGTGGCCCGGGAGTGCAGTGGAGGATGGCCCAAGTGTTTGGGCCCTGCACCCGCGTGGGAGACCAGGAGAAGCACCTGGCTCCTGACTTCGGATCTGCGCAGTGCGCCAGCCATAGCAGCCATTTAGGGGGTGAACTAATGGAAGGAAGACCTTTCTCTCTGTCTCTCTCTCTCACTGTCTAACTCTGCCTGTCAAAAAATATATATATATACCGTAGGACATAAAAAATAAGAGATACAGAAAAACTCATCTAATGTCCTGCTATCCAGAGAAGACTACATTTTGGTGAATTTCTTCTGAAAAAAAATTTTTTTAAAGTCAGTTACAGAGAGAGAGAAAGGGAAGGAAAGAGAGAGGGAGAGCGAGATCTTCCAGCCGGTGGTTCACCCCTCAAATGGCTGCAACAGCCAGGGCTGGGAGCTTCTCCCAGGTCTCCCACGTGGGTACAGAGGCCCAGCACTAGAGCCATCCTGCACTGCTTTCCCAGGCCATTAGCAGTGAGCTCAATCAAAAGTGGAGCATCTGGATTCAAATTTGCACCCATTTGGGTTGCCAGCACTGTAGACGGCAGCTTAACTGGCTGCACCACAGTGCCAGCCCCCCTGCATTTTTTTTTTGCATAATTAAGACAATATTATATAAAATTTCTCTTCACTCTGATCAGTGTTGATTTCTTTGAAACTTTCTGACAGAGTAGTCAAAACTTAATCTCATTCAATACAGATTCCACCAGAGTTGTATGGTGTTAATTAAAAAAGAAAATGTTTACTTATTTGAGTTGTAGAGGGAGTGAGACAGTAAGAAAGAACTGACTTCCCAAATGCCCACAGTGGATGGCACTGGGCAAAGGCCAAGGTCAGAAGCAGGGAACTTGGTCCAGGTCTCCCACATGGTGTGCAGGAACCCAATTACTTGAGCTGTCACCACTGCTTCCCAGTGTATGCATTGACAGGAAGGTAGAATCAGGAGCTAGAGCCAGGTATCAAACCCAGGTATTCCAGTATGGGATCAGACAGTCTTAACTGCTAGGGTAAATTCCTGTTCCATGATGTTGATTTTGAAATCCTTTTTTTTTTTCTTTACCTTAACGAATTAAAGGATATGTTTAAGTTTCTTGACATAAAATACCATCATCATATAACTTTAATTGTTGGCTTGTTGAACTTACTTGATTGTTCTTTGATGGTTAGAAATTGGTAACCTATTTTAATTTTTTGTCATTAATTACTAGTAAATTTGAAAATTTTTTCCTTTAGTTTTTCTTGTCATTCAGAATAACTTATCCTGTAGCATCTAAGTGATTTTTGAACTAATTTGTATGAGCTCCTTACAAAAGTTCTGTTTTTCTTAAATGGTTTTCTCGTTTGTAATTTGTAGCTTTTGACATATATCTTAAATTATTTTGTGTATTTAAATTCCATTTGGCCTTTGATAGTTTGTTTTCTCATTTTTGAGTTTAGAAATTGTCTGCTTCTAGAGGTCTGATAACTTCTTTTTTTCTTATTATTTGTTTTGTTGATTATAACTGATCAATCTACCTATATTTTGAAGCATGATATAAGGTAAAAGTATTTATCCTTCGTATGATTAACACTCGGAGTTTGTGTGTAAACTCTCCTATAATTTTCAAGCTATTGTTTGGAGAAAAAGACTGTCTCAAGCTTCTTTTTATTTCTGTAGGTTAATGGTTCTTGATTCATAGGGAGATTTAAGTACAGTGAAAGATAAAGAGGAAGCCTTAATGACAGACTATATTTTAACAATGAAAAATAGCCTCTTATCTGACAAATACAAATTCATCAGAAGTTTAGACATTTCTGATTGGCATTCCATTAGTACAGTGAAAGCATTTGTATATTCTGGAAATAGTATTTATTTTCATGGAGAAACTTGTGACAAGAATCTGTTTAAACAGTGAGAAAATTCTAGACTCTTCAGACAGCCATGGTTTTGAAAAAGCCTTGTGCTTTGGCAGGAGCCCAGGAAAGGAAGTGTTTGCATCTGCTGCATTCTAGAAGCCTTCCCAAAATCACTGTAGGGCAGCCAAGAAAGCAGTGTATTTCACTACTCTGTTTTTCTGGAAGGATCTGGAAGTTTGCAGCAAATTTGAGGGAGGAGATTTAGAAGTACTTCCAGAATGTAGTTTTTTGATTTTTTTTTTTTTTTAAATTGGGATTCAAGTTAGGAGGAAAGTGGGGGTTATTTTTCAGCTTTTGTGGAATAGAGAGCTTTCACTGTGGACTTGAGCTGTAGTTGAAGTCACAGGGGAATAGTCAAGAGGTGCCTGCACAAAAGGAGCAGCATAACAAGTCCGAGTAATCAATGGCAACCTGTTACTGGGCTGACTACTGAAATGCTAGCTTCCTTTCCTATAAGGTAACAAGAAGGTCTGAACTCCATGTTTGTGGTGGAGAATGAGCAACTGAAGAGTAGTAACAGGGCGACTGGGAGGGCAAGGTAAAACCTGTTGTTTAGTTGATACCTTTATCTGTTGTGAAGAATCCTCACTAGAAAACAATGCTGGGGCGGGGCTGGGGAGAAAAGTGCTCCACTGCTAGGTTTAGAAGAGGGGAAAAGCCACAGCTTTATAGCAGATTAGGATTTTTTATACTGAGTACAGTAGATAAGAAAAAACTCAAAACTGGGTTCTTGGAGAGAACTTACTAGTTTAAGTAGATGGGTCTGTTTATTCTTTTGGATTGTCTACAACTTAAAAGATTGGAATGGGCATTTGGCCTAGGGATGCCCACACCATTTGAGTGGCTGAGTTTGATTACTGATTCCCAGCTCAGCTGCCTACTAGGGAAGGCCCAGAAAAGCAGCTCAAGTCAAGTAGTTGCTTCCCTGCCATCCACTTGGGAGACCTGGACTGAGTTCCCATCTCCTGGCTCCGTTCCCAACTCAACCCTAGCAGTTGCAGACATTTGGGACATGTACCAGTGGATGGTAGCACTCTCTGTCTCTCTGCCCCTTGAATAAAATAAATAATTTTAAACCCAGTAGTACCATTGAAATATAACTCATATACTATATAGTTTACCCGTTTAATATTGTTCTATGGTTTTGTATTGAATGGAGTCAGTACTTTCAAAATCATTCAACCATAAATCACTATAGTCAGTTTTAGAAGACCTTTTTTTAAATTGGATTAACTTATTTATTTCGGAGGTCTAAGAAAGATGGCGAGAGAGAGAGAGAGAGAGAGAGAGAGATTCCATCTGCTGGTTTACTGTCCAGATGGCTGCAGTGGCCAGCATTGGACCAGGCCAGATCCAGGAGCCAGAAGCTTCTTCCAAGTCTCCCACATGGGTGTCAAGGGCCCAAACACTTGGGCCATGTTTCACTACTTTCCCAGGCTCATTAGCAGGGAGCTAGATCAGAAGTGCAGCAGCCAGAACAAAACTAGCAGCCCTATGGATTGCTGGCATCACAGGCAGTGGCTTAACTAACTGTACCACAACACTGGCCCATTGCAGATTTTTTATCACACCAAACATCTATAACTTTATATTTATTTTAAAATTTAAAGTCTTGTGAAGAAAGATAGACCAAGTTAGGAATTTTAAACTAATCAGGGCAAACACTGTGGTGCAGCGGGTTAAAGGCCCAGCCTGCAGTGCCGTTGTCCCATTTGGGCGCTGGTTCAAGTCCTGGCTGCTCTACTTCCCATCCAGCTCTCTGCTGTGGCCTGGGAAAACAGTAGAAGATGACTCAAGTCCTTGGGCCCCTGCACCTGTGTGGGAGACCCAGAAGAAGCTCCTGGTTTTGGATTGGTGTAGCTCCGGCCATTGCTGCCATCTAGGGAGTGAACCAGCAGATGGAAGACCTCTCTCTCTCTGTAACTCTGCCTTACAAATAAATAAACAAATGTTAAAAAACTAATCAGAAAACTCTGTTTCCTTAATGTCTTTAAAATGACTTGATAATATTTACATTAAACTATTTTATTTTTTGTTTTTAAAAAATATTTATTATTTGAAAGGTAGAATTACAGAGAGGCAGAGCCAGAGAAAGAGATCTTCCATCCACTGGTTCACTCCCCAAATGGCTGGAGCTGAGCCCATTCGAAGCCAGGAACCCAGAGCTGCTTCTGTGTCTCCTATGTGGGTGCAGGGACCCAAGGACTTGACCCATCTTCTGCTTTTCCAGGCCATAGCAGACAGTTGGATCAGGACTCGGACAGGCACACATATGGGATGCTGGCTCTGCAGGTGGTGGCTTTACCTGCTGTGCCACAGTGCTGGCCCTCTAAATTAAGCTATTTTAGTAAGTTTTTTGGGGAGACATGGTTGGTTTAGGTGTAGATCACAGAGAAAACTTACTTTTCAGGCTACATTAAAACATTACTACAACTCGATTACTCCAATTATAATAGTAACTAAGAAAATTAGGTTGAATTATTAATAAAATTATAATGAACATTTATATTTTTCTTGAATATAAATATTAAAGTAGCATGATAATTATAAAAGTGGTATGATAGTAGTTAATTACTATTAAGTTATTAAATCATTTTACAAGATTTAACATCAATTCTTTGGCCAAACTTGGAGTTTGACTTTGATTTTGTTCATGGGAAGAATAGGTAAGGAGATTTTCTTAATTGTTTTGTTTTTGTTAATGGCTGTATTTCTCTTGTAGGTGTGTGAACCTATAAAATTAAATCTTCCAAGATGATTTGGTGTATTTTCATACTAGGCATTCTACTTCCTCAATCTTTTGCCCATCCAGGATTTTTTACTTCAATTGGTGAGTTTTATTTTTTGGTTTGTGTTGTTTTGCATGTAAAACTTCCATTTTTTAAAAATGTTTTAAAATCAGTAAGAATATATACCATGTATTTTCAAAAGCTGAAGCATTTTTACTTCCTGTATTCTAAAAGGTCCTCAAAATATAAACCTCAATTTTATTTTTCTTTAATTTTCCTGGTTATAAAAATGATACATATTGAGTTTAGAAACTTGTGAAAATTTAGGAAAATGCATCAAAGAAAATTACCCATTATAAGTCTGACCAACATACAATTTAATGCTTATGCTTAGTCTTTTTCAATGCATAGACATATAAACAACATATATTATTTCTAACCTGCTTTTTTCACTTCAGAATCTGCTATGAATGTAAGTTTCTGTTTTCTGCATCATTTTAAAAAAAAAAATCCTTAAAAGTGTTATAAAAATAGCATGTTGGTTAAAGAGGAAAAAATAGAAATATAGTAGATAGAATATAAGACCGCCTGATGTTCCCTTGCTCCTAGAATATTCCTTTTAGTTTGATATGTATCTTTATATTTTCTTTAGATGTACTTTATCTGTCTTAGATGTTTCCTTTATTCTGGACTGGTTTTATTCTTGTAGAATTGTAGTGCTAACTAAATCGTGAGTGTTAAATATTTATGGCACTTAATTTCAGGATATAAAATGATGAGTCTTTTTATTCCACTGTAAATAAATATACAGTATTTAAAACTTTTTTGGTTTAGCTTTTATTGAATAAAAATTTAATTACTTTTAAAAACAAAAAAAAATTAGGTTGGAAATGGTGAAGAAACATTGATCCTTGAGAAATAGTGTTGTTTGTAATTTATATTTGTGGAAGAAGACAGTTTGTCAGCATTGTCTGAGCTTATAAAATTAAGTAGCTTGAAAATTTGAACTCTAATTCATGATTAGAAAAGTTTTTGGCTTTATTTTGATTTATCTGGTGAAAAAAAGAAAAGATGATCCCAACATACGTGATTCATGCCAGTTAAGTCTTCTCATAGAATGAAGCATTCGGTCATTCTTAAATCATTCTATAGTACATGCGTTAATGAATGTAAATATTCAGTAACCTTCTTCTTTGTCCCTTCTAGGTCAGATGACTGATTTGATCCATACTGAGAAAGATCTGGTGACTTCTCTGAAAGATTATATTAAGGCAGAAGAGGACAAGTTAGAACAAATAAAAAAGTAAGCAAGAGTTTAGTAAAACTAAACTCTTATAGTAAGAGTCATAGTAAGTCATAGTAAGTATACTATGACTCCACCTCGATGTTTTCTTTTCTGAGCTAAAACATTCTTCCAGTGGAAATCAGAGCCATCTGTCAGTTTTAATCATACCTAGTTGACTGAAATAGCACAGAAAACAAGGTAGGCCCGGTCCCAGGTTTATGTGGAAGAACATGGATTAAGGTAAAGATAGGGATAGGTGTGGGTATGGATGAAAATTTTCAAAGTGGTGTCATTATATTTTATCCTGTAACCTCCCCAATCAAAATACCTGCTCAAGCATTTTTCCAGTTCTACTTATACTTCACTCCTATAGTTCCGTTTTATATATTATAGGGATAAGTATGATTAATATTTAATTCATAGTTTTTCTCAAATGCTTATTTGTTTTTTTTTTTTTTTTTTTTTTTTTTTTTTTTTTTTTTGTGACAGGCAGAGTGGACAGTGAGAGAGAGAGACAGAGAGAAAGGTCTTCCTTTGCCGTTGGTTCACCCTCCAATGGCCGCCGCGGCTGGCGCGCTGCGGCCGGCGCACCGCGCTGATCCGATGGCAGGAGCCAGGAGCCAGGTGCTTTTCCTGGTCTCCCATGGGGTGCAGGGCCCAAGCACCTGGGCCATCCTCCACTGCACTCCCTGGCCACAGCAGAGGGCTGGCCTGGAAGAGGGGCAACCGGGACAGAATCCGGCGCCCCGACCGGGACTAGAACCCGGTGTGCCGGCGCCGCTAGGCGGAGGATTAGCCTAGTGAGCTGCGGCGCCGGCCTCAAATGCTTATTTGTGATTGATTCAGGTTCATAGTGAATCCTGACCTAGTCTTTTATTTAATTAGTAGCTAGGTATCCAGGTTTTTTGTTTTAAAATGCAACTATAATTTCTAGCTATTGAACATAAACATTTGGTTTAAATTGATTTAAATTAACATAACTGAATTTGTGTTAAATTGTATCATGCAGTGTAATCAGTTATTTGGCCTTAAGGACCTATGGGGAAATGAATTCTTTTTAAAAGATTTATATATTTATTTGAAAGGCAGAATTACGTAGAGCTAGAGGCAGAAAGAAAGGGGTCTTCCATCCCTTGGTTCACTTCTTAAATGGCCTCAACAGCTGGAGCTGAGTCCATCCAAAGCCAGGAGCCACGAGCTGCTTCTGGGTCTCTGAGGCAGGTGCAGGGACCATCTTTTACTGCTTTCCCAGACAATAGCAGAGAGCTGGATCAGAAGTGGAGCAGCCATGACTCAAACTGGCGCCCATATGGGATGCTGGCACTGCAGGTGGCAGTTTTACCTGCTACACCATAGTACCCCAGCACCAGGGAAATGAAGGTTCCGATGACAACTTTCATTAAGATAGTAATTATAAACATTCGAAAGAAACAAAAGTAAAACAAAAGTCTTATTATTTGACAAGTTAGATTTTATTTATTTATTTTATTTATGTATTTGTTTTTGAGATTTAGAAGTATTTATTAGAATCAAGGGCATCTAGCCAGAATGGCATGGAGGGGGTTTCCAAGAGGAAAACCCAAAGGGGACTGGTGGCAGTTGGCTTTAAGTACAATTTCAAAGAAAAAAAAAACAACTTGATGATCAGATTGGCATTGTTACCAGGCTGGGACAAAAGCCATCAAAAGACCTCATTTACCTTTCTCCATCCTGTCTGGCCTGCTGAGATTTTATTTATAAGAGGACCTTGCTTTATAAAGGATCTTTATAATTAGTTTTCCATTAATAGGACGTTACGTGTATGATTTAACTAAACACATCTAATCTAGTTTTTTTTTAAACAAGTACTTTACTAATTACAATTTAGTATTATTTATTAAATGTATATACTCTATTTTTTTATGTATTATCTACAGATGGGCAGAGAAATTAGATCGGCTAACCAACACAGCAACCAAAGATCCAGAAGGATTTGTTGGGCATCCTGTGAATGCATTCAAGTTAGTGAAACGTCTGAACACTGAGTGGAGTGAGTTGGAGAATCTAGTCCTTAAGGATATGTCAGATGGTAAGTCTGAGGTGACTAACTGGCCCAAAAAAACCCCAAAAAACAAACAAAAACACAAGAAAGAAAGACATAGTTACTGTCTTTAGAATGCTAAAATTTATTCTCAGACATTGTGTTCAATGTTGTAATTGAATTATTGCTTGGGTGCATTTTTTTGACTAGAGTTAATTTAGTCACATTCTTGGATTCTTTTTTTTTTTTTTTTTTTTTTTTTTTTTTTTTTTTTTTTTGACTGGCAGAGTGGATAGAGAGAGAGAGACAGAGAGAAAGGTCTTCCTTTTGCTGTTGGTTCACCCTCCAATGGCTGCCGTGGCCGGTGCGCTGTGGCCGGTGCACCATGCTGATCTGAAGGCAGGAGCCAGGTGCTTCTCCTGGTCTCCCATGGGGTGCAGGGCCCAACTACTTGGGCCATCCTCCACTGCACCCCCTGGCCACAGCAGAGAGCTGGCCTGGAAGAGGGTCAACCAGGACAGAATCCGGTGCCCCAACCGGGACTAGAACCCGGTGTGCCGGCGCCACTAGGTGGAGGATTAACCTAGTGAGCCGCGGCGCCGGCTACATTCTTGGATTCTTTGAATAAAAAAAATACTAATACTGCTAAGATTGGTGTTTTTGTTTTGCAACCTACAAGAGTATAGACTTGTTGTATAACTTCATTCTGAAGTAATCATTTTTATTTGGGGTTATTTTCAAACAAAAATTTATGTGCAAATCTGTCTTTAATCAGTTTTTAAAATGTTGGGAGTGGTACTATAACAGCTCTCTACTGTGGCCAGGGAGTGCAGTGGAGGATGGCCCAAGTCCTTGGGCCCTGCACCCCATGGGAGACCAGGATAAGTACCTGGCTCCTGCCTTCGGCGGCCATTGGAGGGTGAACCAACGGCAAAAGGAAGACCTTTCTCTCTCTCTCTCTCTCACTGTCCACTCTGCCTATCAAAAAAAAAAAAAAAAAAAAAGTTAGTTGTATTCTCCCTCATATTTTAGAGTTTAGGATTATTTTACATGGAGTTTTCAAAAAGTTCATGGAGAAGTACATATTATGAAAAAACTATAGGTTTCAAAATTTTTTGTACCAAAATAAACTAACCTTTACAAAATTTTAAAAATTTTATTTCAGATGCAAAAAGGCAGGCAGGCATGCATGCATATGAATAGAGCTCGCATCCACTGCTTCATTCCCCAAATGCCTGTGACTGCCCAAGGCCAGGGCTGAAGTAGCCAGGAACTCAATCCATGTTTTTCACATGGGTAGCAGTAACCTGTTTCTTGAACCATTGCCAAAGCCTCCCAGGATCTAGACGAGAGCCAGGAGCTGGAGCTGGAAATTGAATCCAGGAGCTCTACTGTGGGACAGCTGTGTTAAAAGCTAGGTTAAACTTAACCTTTAAAAAATGATTTATTTATTTGAAAGGCAGACTGACAGGGAGAGGCAGAGGAAAGACATCTTCCATCTGCTGGTTTCACTCCCCAAATTCCCACAACAGTCTGGGCAAGGCTGAAGCCAGGATCCAGAAACTCTGGGTTTCCAACATGGCTATCAGGGGGTCCAAGTACTGCTGCCTTTCCACGTGCATTAGCAGGAAGCTGGATTGGAAGTGGAGCAACTGGGACTCAGACTGGCACGGTGATATATGGGTTGCTGGTGTTGCACTTGGTAGCTTAACCTGCTGTGCCATAGCCCAGGCTCCCTAAACTTACCTTTTAATTGTAATTTTCTCTGAGTTTTAAAGGATGTTTGTTTATTCATTTTTATTTATTTGCGAGGCACAGCAACTGAAATATCTTCAGTCTGCTGGTTCACTTCCTAAATGTGCATAGTAGCTGGGGCTTGGCCAGGCCAAAGCCAGCAGCAAGGGTTTCACAGTGGGTGGCAGGAACTTAGCACTTGAACCCTCATTTGCTTCTGCCCAAGTGCATTAAAAGGAAGCTGGATCTGAAGCAAAGAGGGAGACAGGACTCATCCCAAGCACTCTTGATAAGGGATGTATTCATCCCAAGCCACAGCTTAACCTGCTGTGCCACAACACCTGCCCCCAACACTATGAAAAAAATGAAGTATTCTTGTACTTGATATAGATAACACATTAAAAAACTGAGGCTGTAATCAATAGTAATGAGTTAGTATGTCTGAAAAAATTGTAGTGGGGGTGTAGAATTTTCAATATTTTAGTAATAGATACAGAAAACTAAGCCTTGAGTTTTAGGGGGTAAAGGGATTTTGCTTAGTACACAGTAAAGACTCAAATATTTGTTGAATGCATGAAAGTGGCAAAGAGACAGTGAGAGCACACAAGTCCATGTGCTGAGTGAGCTATGTAGGTAAAATATTCCGGGGTTGCTTAGCATGTTTCAGAAGCAGTGAAGTAAACTGTTAGGAATAGGACAAGAAACCTTGAGGAGAATACTTAAGTATTTGTACATACATCTTTGCTAATGAAAGAGATGTTTGTTATGCTTCTCTAGAAACATGCTGAAAACATTTTTAAGGAGATATATAAATATATATGTGTGTGTATTTGTGTTTAATCTCAAGCAATGACTTGGAATAATTCTTTTATAATGTAGACCTTGAGACGGATATTTTAATCTGTGGCAGTCATCCCATAATGTGTATATGTATTTATTTTTCCTGTATTAAGATTTAAGCTACCTCCTGGATTTTGTTTTGGGGTCTAAGAAACATTATAGTCTGTAAAAACTTGCTTGTAAAATTCCATGTAGAGTCTGTGACTCAAGAGTTGGTTTTAAAAGTGAAAAATATGCTTGATGTGAACTTCTACCCTCTTCAGCTAGTTGCTCATTTGTACATTTCCATTTCCATAAAAATGCCTGTCTTTGATGGTTGACTATAAATTCACAATTTTTATTTGCAAATTATAATACTTGTATTAAAATTTTAAACTACTTTTGGATTTTTAGAAATTTGTTTCTTAAGGGATATTTAGCACCCATTCATTGTAGGAGTTACATAGTAATCAGTAATTGGTGCATTTGATTTTTTCTGTATTTAAATAGATTTTCTTTAAGATTAGTTTTTAAAAATCTTATTTATTGGCTGGTGCCGCGGCTCAATAGGCTAATCCTCCACCTTGCGGCGCCGGCATACCGGGTTCTAGTCCCGGTCGGGGCGCCGGATTCTGTCCCGGTTGCCCCTCTTCCAGGCCAGCTCTCTGCTGTGGCCAGGGGGTGCAGTGGAGGATGGCCCAAGTGCTTGGGCCCTGCACCCCATGGGAGACCAGGAGAAGCACCTGGCTCCTGCCTTCGGATCAGCGCGGTGTGCTGGCTGCGGCAGCCATTGGAGGGTGAACCAACGGCAAAAGGAAGACCTGTCTCTCTCTCTCTCTCACTGTCCACTCTGCCTGTCAAAAAAATAATAAAATAAAAAAATAAAAAAGTCTTATTTATTCATTTATTTATTTGAAAAGGAAGAGTGACAGGGAGAGACAGTTCTTCCATCCACTGGTTCACTCTCCAAATGGCTATAAAGCCTAGGGCTGGGTATAGCCAGGAGCCTGGAACTCTCTCTGGGTTCTCTACAGTGGTGACAGGACCCAGGTAGTTGGGCCATCATCCGATGTTTTTCCTGATAACTTAGCAGGGAGAAGGATTGGAAGTAGAGCAGCTCTGATGGGTGTGGCTGGTGACACAAATGGCAACTTAACCCACGGTGCTACAACACTGGCCCCAAGATTTTTTTTTTTTTTAAAGATTTATTTATTTATTTGGAAGGCATAATTACAGAGAGGTAGAGGCAGAGGCAGAGGCAGAGAGAGAGAGAGAGAGAGAGGTGTCTTCCATCCGCTGGTTCACTCCCCAGATGGCCGCAATGCCCGAAGCTGTGCCTATCCAAAGCCAGGTGCCAGGAGCTTCTTCCAGGTCTCCCACATGGGTGCAGGGGCACAAACACTAGGGCCATTTTCTATTGCTTTCCTAGGCTGTAGCAGAGAGCTGGATCGGAAGTGGACCAGCCGAGACTTGACCGGCACTCATGTAGCAGGCCACAGCATAACCTGCTAAGCCACAGTACCTGCCTCAAGATTGTTTTTTTGTTTTGTTTTGTTTTGTTTTTGACAGGCAGAGTTAGAGAGAGACACAGAGAGAATTATAGACAGTGAGAGAGAGACAGAGAAAAAAAGTCTTCCTTCCGTTGGTTCACTCCCCTAAAGGCCGCTACGGCCAGCGCTGCATCGTTCTGAAGCCAGGAGCCAGGTGCTTCCTCCCAGTCTCCCATGCGGGTACAGGGACCCAAGTACTTAGGCCATCCTCCGCTGCCCTCCCATGACACAGCAGAGAGCCAGACTGGAAGAGGAGCAACCGGGACTATAACCCAGGGTGCCAGCGCTGCAGGTGGAGGATTAGCCAAGTGAGCCATGGTGCTGGCCCATGATTGGGTTTTATCTATAGCAAATCTGGACTGGTGAGCATTACATTTGATGTTTAGATCTAAATTTTAATTAGTTATTTATCTGGAATATATAGTTAATATCTCTTACTTCCTCTCAAGAATTCTACCAAACTTTAAATATGCACATATTCATATAATATGTGCTATTGAGACAAAGAGAACAGAATCTTAATAGCATAGATTGTACTTACCATCTGTTATCTGAAAGTGTAATTTGTTGCCAGTGAATGTCATCTTCAAATCCATAAATCTGTTCATTCCTCCAGCCTGGAAGAGACACTTTTGTTTTCTTGTTATATATATGTAACTGAAAACTCAATAGGCTAGCTGAACTTTACTTAATATGACAGATTTGATTTATATAATGAGATCAGATTACTTAAGCAATATTAGAAAGAATTTGGGGAGATTTAAAAGTTAAGAGTGTATCATTTAATTTTTTTCTTATTGATTATATGTGGAACTTTATATGGTGGAAAATGATAGTAAAATGGATTTTTTAGAATCCTTACAAAGACTGTGTTTTGGAAATCTTAGTGATTCTACAGTTTTTTTCCCCCTCTTTCTGTTTGAAGGGTTTATTTCCAACCTAACCATTCAGAGGCAGTACTTCCCAAATGATGAAGATCAGGTTGGGGCAGCCAAAGCTCTGTTGCGTCTCCAGGATACCTACAACTTGGATACGGATACCATATCGAAGGGTAATCTTCCAGGTAAGATAATTCTTCGAGTATAGAAAATATCTAACCCCGGCTGCTCTTTTCAGAGTTCAGTCCATTAGGACAATGTTAATGTAATTTGAGTACATGAACATTAATTTTTTTTTAAGATTTATTTATTTATTTGAAAGAGTTACACAGAGAGAGGAGAGGCAGCGAGAGGTCTTCTATCCACTGGTTTACTCCCCAGTTGGCCACAACGGCTGGAGCTGTGCTGATCTGAAGCCAGGAGCCAGAAACATTTTTTTGGGTCTCCCACGTGGGTGCAGGGACCCAAGCGCTCGGGCCATCTTTGACTGCTTTCCCAGGCCACAGCAGAGAGCTGGATCAGAAATGGAGCAGCCGGGACTCGAACCGGCACCCATATAGGATGCTGGCACTGCAGGCGGTGGCTTTTACTTGCTATGCCACAGTGCTGGCCCTAATGTTAATGTCAATGTATTTAAAGTTTTTAAAAGGAAGTAGGTATTTTTTTTTTTTTTTGAAAGGCAGAGTTAAATAGAAGGAGAGACAGAGAGCTTCTATCTGCTGATTCACTCCCCAGATGGCTACAATGGCCAACGCTAGGTCAGGCTGAATGCAGGAGTCTGGAACTCCATCCATGTATCCCACATGTGTGGTATGGAGCTCGGTACTTGGGCTATCATCTGCTGCTTTCCCAGGTGCATTATCAGGGAGCTGGATTGGAAGTGGAGTAGCTAGGACTCGAACCAGCACTTCACCTATGGGATGCCAGCATTATAGGCAGTTGCTTAACCACTGCACCAAAATGCTAGATCCCATTTTAAGATATTAAATTACAGTTTGTTTCATAACCTTTGAAGGCCACAAACCCTCTTTTTCTCTAGGACTTAATAGTTGTGAATGTGCTTTGAACTTATTACTGTGAAAGCTTATAGAGACTAGCTTAAGTAATTTTAAGGTATAAGAAAATCATTTTTCTAGATGGTTTTCATCAGAGCATTTAAAACTGCTTGAATGCCTTATATTTAAAGTTATAAAGTAATTGGTAATCAGAGTTTATTATTCAGTCAGTAAAATAAAAATGTATTGCTTGTGCACAGATGTTTGAAGTTTTCTGACCTGTTTTTATCAAGACTTTTTTTTTTTTTTAAGTTACAGCTGATTTAATGACAATTTATACTGTTTCACTTTTTGGTGACTCTGTGGTTTACTACAATTAATATCTCCTGTCACTATCAGCTGTATAAATAATATGTTGTCTCTGTCTTCATACTAGAATTTATTTCCTCAGTAAGAAAAAATAGTGTGATGGGCTGTTTATCATGCTATTCCTCCCTTCTTTTTGGATGAGGGTATTCAGTGGTACAGTTAAACCTGGAATACTACTAAGTAAAGTTTCCATTAAGCTGTAATGTAATTCTGTTAATTTGGATCTCCAAAAATGTATAAATTTAAAAATTTTCCATTTCTACTAATACTGATTATACTACTTTTGATAAGATTATGACTTTTTTTTTTAAAGGCTTCTGGTTGGGACCAGTATGGCATCCCATGTGGGTGCCATTTAAGTCCTGGCTGCTCTACTACCAATCCTGTTTCCTGCTAATACACCTGAGAAAGCTGCGGAAGATGGCCCAAGTGCTTGGGCCCCTGAACTCAAGTGGGAGAGACTCGGATGAATCTCCTGGCTCCTGGCTTCAGACTGGCCCAGCTCTGGCCATTGTAGCCATTTGGAGAATGAATCAGCAGTTAGAAGATTGCTCTCTATTCCTCCTCCTCTCTCTGTAACTCTGCCTTTCAAATGAACAAAATAAATCTTTATTTAAAAATTTTTTTTTAAATTTTTTTGACAGGCAGAGTTAAACAGTGAGAGAGACAGAGAGAGACTTATAGACAGTGAGAGAAAGAGACAGAGAGAAAGGTCTTCCTTCTGTTGGTTCACCCCCACAAATGGCTGCTACGGCCGGCACATTGTGCTGATCTGAAGCCAAGAGCCAAGTGCTTCCTCCTGGTCTCCTATGCAGGTGCAGGGCCCAAGCACTTGGGCCATCCTCCACTGCCTTCCCGGACCACAGCAGAGAGCTGGACTGGAAGAGGAGCAACCAGGACAGAATCTGGCACCCCAATTGGGACTAGAACCCGGGGTGCCAGCACCGCAGGTGGAAGATTAGCCTAGTGAGCCATGGCGCCGGCCTCAAATAAATCTTTAAAAAATATATATAAAAGGCTTCTGGTTTAAAATACTACGTTTGGTAGATATTAACTATTTAACATTGCCATCTATTATATATGTTAGGTACTTTTTAAATTTTTATTTATTTTAAGATTTATTTATTTATTTGAAAGTCAGAGTTACACAGAGAGAGGAGAGGCAGAGGCAGAAAGAGAGAGAGAGAGAGGGAGGTCTTCCATCCACTGGTTCACTCCCCAGTTGGCCGCAATGGCCAGAGCTGCGCCGATCCGAAGCCAGGAGCCAAGAGCTGCTTCTGGGTCTCCACGTGGGTGTAGGGGCCCAAGGCCTTGGGCCATCTTCTACTGCTTTGCCAGGCCATAGCAGAGAGCTGGATCGGAAGTGAAGCAGTCGGGTCTCGGGATGCCAGTGCTTCAGGGCAGGGTGTTAACCTGCTGCGCCACAGCGCCAGCCCCCGGTACATTTTTTAAAAATAAACTTCAGTTCCATTTTCTTTTTTATTTTATTTGAAAGGTAGAATTACAGAGAGAAAAGGAGAGAAAGAGAGATACATTTTCCATCTGCTGGTTCACTCCCCAAATGGCTGCATTGGCCAAGAGCCCACCGCTGCTTCTGGGTCTCCCACACAGGTGCAGGGACTGCAGCACTTGGACCATCCTCTGCTGCTTTCCCAGGCACATTAACAGGGAGATGAATTGGAACTGGAATAGCTGGATCTTGAACCGGTACCCATATGGGATGCTGCTACGGCAGGTGGAGGCTTAACCTGCCATGCCACAATGCCATCCTCAGTACTTACATTCTTAATGATACAGTACGATGAATGCCAGGATGGGGGAAATGCAGGATACTGTGGGAGTACATAGGAGGAAACCTCTTTCTCGATAAGTATAGGAGGAAGACTCCCTAGAAGACATGACATTAACAAAGTTGGTATCTAATGGACAAAGAACTTAACTAGGAAAATGAGAATGGGCCTTGGGGAAGTGTTCTTGGGTGAAGGACCATGTATAAAGGCCAGAGAGGAGAGGACATACCCATATTCAGATAACAAATAGCTTGTGAATCTTAATTTAGAGTTCAAAAGCTGAGTGTAAGAGGTGGAGATGGGGGTTTGGTTTATTGAGAATAGTGAGAGGTGAGGCTAGAGAGAAAAGGAGGAGGAGCATCTCTTGGAGGGCTTCATAGGTGTGAACTGTCCTGTGCACAGTATGGAAATATTGAAAAATTTTAAATATGGAAATTTATTATTTTCCTTTTAGGATATCATTCTGGCTACAAAATGGAGATTGAGTTTTGGGTTGGGGACAAAGAACAAGGGAAGAGGCTGTTATAAAAGTAAGAGATGTTAGTGGTAACTAATGGCTATGGTTATCAAGCTACTTAGGAGGAAGAATTTGATGATGGACTTGATTTCTGTCTTAAACAACTACATGAGTTCCAGAGGCTGTTCTAGGCTGAAGCCAGGAACTGGGGACTCAATCTTGGTCTCTCATGTGGGTGACTGGGACCCAACTACTTGAGCCTTCACCTTCTTCCTTCTCCCAGGTTGCACGTTAGCAAGACACTTGAACTAGGAGCAGAGGCAGGACTGGAACTCAGGCACTATGATGTGGGATGTGGTCATCCTAACTGGAATCTTCTATGCCATATGCCTATCTAGCAAATCCTAGACAACATTTCATTTTATTCATAAATAATTCAGTATGTATATCTAATTGATAGGTCTTTTAAAATTTAAGAAACTCTTATTCTGCCTGACAGAATTGACAGTGTTTCCTTGATATAGTTTAATACTCAGTCAATATCCAGATTTTCTCTAGTGGTTTCAGAAATGTCATTTACAGTTGGATTTTTTGGTTATGTCTTAAATTCTTTCATTGTCCTGTCTCTACCCTTTACCCCCCATAACACTGAGAAAATCTGGTCATATATTGTATGGGAATTCTACATTCTGGAGTTGACTAATTTTTTTTTTTTTAGTATTTGCTTTGTTCTGTTTATTTATTTATTTGAAAGGCAGAGTTACAGAGAGCCAGAGGCAGAGGCAGAGGCAAAGAGAGGTCTTCCATCTGCTGGTTCACTCCCCATATGGGCGCCACCTGTAGTGCTGGCTTTACCAACTAAGCCACAGCGCTGGCCCCTTTGTTCTTCTAACTCCTGTGTTTACTGCAAGCTGGTTACTGGTTGAGGCTTGATTTGATTGATTATTTGTTTATTTAATTTATTTATTTGAAAGAATTTTGCAGAGAGAAAGAGGTCTTCCATCTGCTGGTTCACTCCTCAAATGGCTGCAATGGCCTGAGCTGCGCCTATCCAAAGCCAGAAGTCAGGAGCTTCTTCCAGGTCTCTTATGTGGGTGCAGTGGCCCAAGGACCTGGGCCATCCTCCACTGCCCTTTATCAGTTTTCAGAGTAATGAAGTTTTGCCCTTGACTTCTAATAGCAGTCAGTGATTTTTATCCAGTGTTGTGGCACAGTGTGTTAACCCTCTGTCTGCAACACTGGCATTCCATATGAGGGCATATTTGAGTCCCTGCTACCCCACTTCTGATCCAGGTTCCTGCTAATGTACTAGGGAAAGCAATGGAAGATGGCCTGAGTGCTTGGGTCTCACATGAGACCCAGATGGAGTTCTAGGCTCCTGGCTTCTGGTTGGCTGAGCCTTGGCAGTTGTGAACATTTAGGGAGTGAGCCAGCAGATGTGAGCTTGCCCATTCTCTCTTTCATTCTTTATATCTGCCTTTCAAATGAATAAGTAATCTTTTTTTTTTTTTAAGATTTAATTATTTTATTTGAAAGAGTTACACAGAGGAGAGGCAGAGAGAGATCTTCCATCC